CCGTGAGGGGATGTGGGGATGTGTGGAGAATGTTAAAAACGGGACCGACAGGATGTGGGGGGATGCGAACTGTGGTGTTGGAGGGGAGGAGGGCCATGGTGGGCACGGGGCTAACAGGGTCTGTTCCTTGAAGGAACATCATCATCCCTCAGCCCGCCCTGGGATGTCCTTCCTCAAGGAACCCACTGCTTTGTGCCTGATTCCTTGCCGTGTAAATAACCATCCAAAATAAAGATGAGCTGTACTTCCGTGGGTCCTTTGAAGGGCTTGTGCTTCCCTGTAACATTTCTGTTTTCAGACTCTTCTGTGCATCAACCCGCCCCTTTTCGACGTGCACCAGACGCTGCTGAGCCCTGCCCAGCACCATGTGGCGCTCATCGGTACCAAGGGGCTCATGGTGCTGGAGCTGCCCAAACGCTGGGGCAAGAATTCCGAGTTTGAAGGTGGGAAATCCACGGTGAACTGCAGGTGGGTGAGGCCTCAGGTGAATAATGACACCCTTGTCCTGCTACTCTTCCTCCTGAGCCTCCCTTTCTTGGGGTTAGGCAGATACAGAAGGCACTGGTAGAAGGTACCAGGTTGTATTGGGGTTTCACAAATGAAATTATTTTGGCTCAAATACTTGCTGCTTATCAAGTAAACCAAATAAATGACCTTCTAAACTTGTTGCAATTGCTGAGGAGCAAGATGCTCCTCTAGTATTGTGGAGCTTTCCAAAGAATCATAGAATTGTTTTGAGTTGGAAGACACTTTAAAGGCCAGCAAGTTCCAACTCCTGCTATGGATAGGGACACTTTCCACTAGACCAGGTTGCTCTGAGCCCTGCCCAGCCTGGTCTTGGACATGTCCAGAGATGGGGCAGCTTCTTTGGAGTATTTCAGCTGTGGCAGCTGAAAGCAGATATTTGGGGGGAAATAACAGACGGCTTCAATTGAAAGCTGCCTTCCAACTTTTAGAGTAGTACAGATAAAGACTCTGAAACCTTTTCACTGTGTCTCTAGCTCTTCTTGCCCCCACCTCCCTTTGGAAGCAGCTTGTGTGTTTCTGGTCCCAGTGCAATCTCTGCTCTGTGTTCCAGCACCATTCCTATTGCGGAGCGCTTCTTCACCAGCTCAACCTCCCTGACCCTAAAGCATGCAGCCTGGTACCCCTGTGACACCATGGAGCCCCACATCGTGCTCCTGACATCAGATAACACCATCAGGTAAGCCCCATTTGTGGCTGATTATCTGAAGTGTAGTTTTTTTGTCATATCTAGCCTTAATTTGTCACTGGGTATTTGCATGCTGCAATTTTTACCAGAGTTAGCAATAAAAAAGTAGGATGGGGGGAATTTCAGAGTGAGAGTGGCTGATGTTCCTGTGTCAGCAGGGAATGTGCAGCACTGCCAGCAGAGTGACCATGGCTTCTGTTTCTTTCTTTCCCCCAGGTTTTACAGTCTGAAGGTGCCTCACACACCCATCAAGGTGATTGTGCTTTCAGACACTGAGGAGGAGACTCTGACCATCAAAACAGGGTTGGTGTGGCTTCTTGTATTTTGAAATGCTTTTACAGAATAAGCTCAGTATTCTCAGTTGTGTTTTTAATGGATAAGTGATAAATGTGCCTGAAAATCTTTATGAATTCTGTAGTGCTAGCACTTCTTCATGGCAGAGTACCTACACTTTCCCTTTTCCTTCCTTCCTTCCTTCCTTCCTTCCTTCCTTCCTTCCTTCCTTCCTTCCTTCCTTCCTTCCTTCCTTCCTTCCTCTCCTCCACCCTTCTAAAGCAAAGTGGTGACAAACTGTACAGTGAAGTGTTTGTCAGAGTAGTAACTTGAAAACTGTGCATTGACTTTAGGATGGGGTTAAGAAGGGGATTTTGAGTGAGGAATGTAGAGAATAGATTATCTTTTTATTTCCCTCTTGACCTGGTTGGAAACAGAACTCTTGCAGCACAGAGTCGTGTCCCTCACAGAAGTACCAGAGCCCCGCCTGTGTCTCTGGAGCTGTGGGGGCACTGCAGGACCCATGTGCCACATCAGGGGTGTCCCTTACACCCTTTTGTGGCTGGCACTGCTGGATGGGATGGGGTTGGGCAGGGATTTGGCAGCACAGCCCTCAGGAGCAGGTTGCACTCTGTGCTCTCAGTGCTTGCTGACCCAGCTGGTTGTGCCCTGTGCCAGGAGAGCGTACACAGCATCCCTGGGTGAGACAGCCGTGGCCTTCGACTTCGGGCCGCAGGTGCCGGTGCCCAAGCACGCCCTGGGCCAGCGCGGCAGCGAGGAGGTGCTGGGCTACCCCCTGTACATCCTCTATGAGAATGGAGAGACCTTCCTCACCTACGTCAGCCTGCTCCAGAGGTAAGCTCTGAGCCCCAGGGCTCGTGGGGTGCTCGGGTGTCACCTCTCAGCTTGGCTGGGACTCTGTGAGGGATGCTGGGCTGACTTTTCTTGTATTGCAGCCTGTTCTGTCTCTGTGGCAGTGCTGGTAGACTGGAATCCAAATCCAACCTGTCATCCTTTCTCATCCAAACATTATGGGTGCAGCTTCCACTGCTCAGAATGCACTGTGCATTATTTACCACCAGCAATCTGATATGAACACACAGGGCTGTAAAAAGATCAGTGGGTCTAAGGCTGTTCAGTGTATTTTGTGGCATAGACATCCTTAGCTTTGGATGAGGCTCATTGAGCCAGGGGCATCCTAGGAAAAGAAATATTTGAAAAGCATAGAGAGTTCACAGGGTGTTCTGCAATGGAAATGATTAATCAAAATATAAACATGATACAAGAAGGAATTTAGAAAACTGAGAAGATGATGCAAGACTTAAAAGTTAGATCTTGTGTAGCTGAATATTAAAGCGTGTGGTACTTGGGTTAGAAACAGCACTGTGAGGAGATCTGTCTGTGCAGGCAGTGAGGTGGCTTTAGTCCATCTAAAGTTCTGCCCAAAGAAATGCCACAGCACAAAATGCTGCATGTGAAGTGCAAGAACCAGTTGAGTAATCATTAACTCGAGCTTTCCATGAGTATTTTGTGTTCTTGCATGAGAATGTTTCCTCATGAATTTTTGCAGTGCAGCTTTGGTTGCTTTCAAAGCATAAAGTGTAATGAAATGAGCTCTGATTTCCCCTCTGAGCTCTCCAGCAAGGAGCTGCAGGTCAGACTTGCACTCTGCAGCAGTGCAGTGGGACTGAGAGCTCCCAGCCAT